GCAACAATTTCCAGTCATAAGGCAACAATTTCCAGTCATTTTTTTATTTAAACATATTTATTCAAGAGAATGGATTGGGTACAAGTTATGCCAACTTAGTGAAACCCTCTCCTATTTACAGTGTTTACGTGCAAAAGTGAAACAAACTATATGTACAGGGATAGAAAGATATATACCAAATGATATATACAATACAATGAATACATGAATTATTTAGATCATACACATAATATCCACACATTTTGTGTTTCGCCTGACCGTTATCTTGCGAATTTCCCATTCTAAATGGAAACAAATATACCATTTACCAGGAAGGTAAATGTTTACGAACGTTTTCGGCACAAATAGGGATAGATAGGGATGTATTTTTACAAGGTTTTCTGATTTATATGTTAGATACTGTTTGTTTATGTTTGGGGCTGTGTATTGTAATTGAGTTTTTGAATATTTTTATAATAGAAGGTAATACTTATGATAGTGAGGTCCCCTAATAATTGTGGAGGAGAAATCGTATAATTGTATTTTTCGAGTTTTAATAAATGTTTCTTCACCATTTCCATCACGTCTGTTGTGTTGATATTAGTCATGTTGATGGCCAAGCTGAAGTAGTGCGGCAGTGTTGTATACGTGCGCAGTGAAGCGCCGTGAAATCAGACGCATATTTTCAATCCAAATTGATACCGTCTGATTTTATGGCTTGAATAATCAAATTCGAGCATTTCACGTGCCATGGTAGAATTTCCAGTTATAAGGCAACAATTTCCAGTTATTAAGCAACAATTTCCAGTTATTAGGCAACAGTTTCCACTTCCATAAGGCATCAATTTCCAGTTATTAGGCAACAATTTCCAGTTATTAGGCAACAATTTCCAGTTTCTTTCAGCTATTAGGGAGGGGCGGTGGGGTAGCCTAGTAGTTAAAGCGTTCGCCCGTCACGCCGAAGGCCCGGGTACGATTCCCCACATGGGTAAAATTTGTGAAGCCCATTTCTGGTGTCCCCCGCCGTGATATTGCTGGAATATTGCTTAAAAACGGCGTAAAACCATACTCAGTCAGTCAGTCAGCTATTAGGGGTCACAAAGGTTTAGAGCGATGAGGGTGGATTTGAACTCACACCTTGCATTTAGCCTGTGTATTGTTACCTGATAAGAGTGGGCTTGGGAGTTACCACCTCTTTGTTGTTGTTTTGCTTCCGGCTGATGCTATGGAAGCTATGAGGAATTTCTAAATGGTTGTAGTGTTATCAAAATAGCAGTAGGTTTGCGCAGCTTCTGCTAGAATTCTCCAGAACTGTATAATATATATATGAGGGATGGCTGTCGAGATGTAGATAGACTGCTTTGGTTTTACGCTCATTTGTCTGCTAACATCAACGTTTCACCACTCAAGAGAATACCACTCGTCTACATCGAACTTACAACAGCTATCAACAATATTCCATCAGTACATGTTTTTGCTGGAAATATCAAGACTTTGGTGAGTGAATTTTTTTTGTGACCCAATATTTTAGATTTGTGACTCAATAGTATTGCATTAGAAATTTGTACTGTCATTAATTGTAACCTTGTTTATTCAATATATATTTGCGCATGTTTGATTTGTTTGTGTTGTATTTTTGCTGGTTTGTAGAGGTCTCGCAAGTGTTTTGTCATGGTCATTTCTAAACCGTAACACTAGTAAACTATTCACCGTAATATCAGCGACTTACAAGTTGTTGCATCCCTAAGCATCTGCTCTTGTGTCTCCTGTACACTCCACATCGTAGCACATATGTGATAATTTCTTCTTTTTTCTATTTATAATCTACTCAGAAGACATATTGCTTATGTGTGATGGTGCAATGCGATCTTTGTTCTTGTCACGGTGCACTCTCCAGAAATCATGAACTAAAATGAACTGCATGTGTAAATATAATGATTAGTTAGAACGGTTTTCGAATCATACCACAAACATGTAATTTCTCCCCTTCGAAAACTACATGAGGAGAGAATTCTCGATAGGACATCCAAATGGGGAGGTGGATATGTGTGTTGTTGTTGATGTTTATGTTGATGTAGTTGTTGTTGTGTGTTTTACCAGCCACAGTACATCTAAGCATTGTAATGAGGTGAGACTATAATAAAATATATGTCTGTCTGTCTGTCTAAGCTTACTACCTCTGCTTTATACAATGTTTGGATTACAATCTGAATGCATCCGTCGTCTTCGTGCGTGGGCGGACATCTCATTGTTAACTACTCAAGAGAAGTTTGTGTGCACAATAAATTGTAAATATTCTAACCAAAAAAAGTAACAATTACATAAAATAAAAGTTATTTTTAAAGGTTAGTCCTAAATAAAAAATGTAGTAAAGCATTTTGCATGAAATTTGATGTGGCGTATCGTGCGTGACACGTGCATTTTGTGGACAATGAACTTGCTCTTTTTTTTGCATGCTTTTTGACACCTGATATTGAAAATTGAAGAACGGTTGATTATTCTTTAGCCTGTGAGTATTGTGGAAAAGACGTCAATCTCAACCTGAACTACTCGTACGTCATGACGTGGGTATGCTGGAGACAAGAATGGCCCAAAATGAAGTGGCCAGACATTTTGGTGTCCATAGAAACACGATCTCATCTTTATGGAGACGTTTTCAGCATAATGGGAACATGAGAGGTTTGCCTGAGGGACCGTGACGTCGCGTCAACAAAACAACCACATTCTGATGGGAACATGAAGTTAGAAACGGATCGGGGATTGGGGATTGGGTATTCGAATCCCGAATCGGAATTATTTTTCAATCTGATTTTTTTTTTCATATCCGGGATTCGAATCCCGAATCTTAATTTTCTTTTCGTATTCGAATCCCTAATCTTAACATTTTTCATATTCGTTTTTTTTCTTTTACACATTCGGCACTTGGCATTCGGCATTCGTATTTGGTATTTGAACTCTTATTATGCATTTCATTAAAACATTTGGTAAGCGAGTGAGTGAGTTTTGTTTTACGCCGCACTCAACAATATGCAAGCTGTATGGCGGCAGTCTGTAAATAATCGAGTCTGGACCAGACAATCCAGTGATCAACAGGATAATCATCGATCTGCGCAATGGGGAACCGATAACATGTGTCAACCAAGCCAGCGAATCTGACCACCCAGCCCACCTTTTACAACAAGCATGGGTTACTGAAGGCCAATTTTAACCCGGACCTTCACGGGTATTAACCCATTTGGAATTCGGAACTTCAGCGTCCTTGTAACTATACTCTTTGCACCTTCATCTGTCAAACCTATCTATGCTCGACGCTGCCGTGCACCCTCGTAGATAGTCGAACGGTCCCGAAGCTCTTCCCTGCTTGTATGGATGTATGCATGAGCTCTCGTTGAAAACCGAAGAAAGACCATCAAAGTCAATAATTTGAAACACACCTTTATTGAGGGTAATAATGCATGAATAGCTTTCTGAGATCAAAGGGGAATTAAGCAAGGAGGAAATCTTCACCTTCATCTGCCAAACCTATCTATTGTCGACGTTGCCGTGCAGATAGTCAACGGTCCAGAAGCTCTTCCCTGCTTGCAGGCGTCAACCCTCGATCACGACCGAGAAAAGACGAACAAGGTCAATATTCATTATTTCATCCCCCTCCTAATGTACTAGGTGCTCGTTGTATACGTGGGTAACTTAAAAACATAAACAACCAAACTACACTTTTCGATATTTGAACCTCAAATCTGAGTTTTTTTAACATTCGGGTTTCGGGATTTGAATCCCGAATCTCAATATTTTTTCATCGAATCCCGAATCTGAATTTTTCATATTCGGTATTTTTCTTTAGCACATTCGGTACTCGGCATTCGGCATTCAGTATTCAGTATAACTCCTGTTGTGCATTTCTTTTTCACAATTGGAATTCGGAACTTCAGTGTCCTTGTAACTATGGGGCGGTGGGGTAGCCTAGTGGTTAAAGCGTTCGCTCGTCACGCTGAAGTCCCGGGTTCGATTCCCCACATTGGTACAATGTGTGAAGCCCATATCTGATGTCTCCCGCCGTGATATTGCTGGATTATTGCTACAAGGGGCGTAAAACCAAACTCATTCACTCCTTGTAACTATACTCTTTGCACCTTCATCTGTCATCGTATCTGTCCTCGACGTTGCCGTGCATCCTCGGAAATAGTGAACGGTCATGAAGCTCTTCCCTGCTTGCAGGCGTCAACCCCCGATGACGATCGAAGAAAGACGAACAATGTCAATATTCATTATTATCAGATTCGAATCCCGAATCCGAATTATTTGTTCACATTCGGGATTCGAACGTTGACCGGGAAGTGACTGGCAACGGCTTGTGCAGTTTGGCAAACTTCAAGTCTTCCTAGTGCCTGGTTCCTCTGAGCTGTCGTGAGTCGCGGCATCCTGCTGACGTTGTAATGTGAATGTTTCAGTTGCAGTTGCATGAAAAACATGGAGAACACCGTACCATCTCAGAGATCAGGATGCGTTTTTGTGACCATTTCCTGGGTTCCATTCTGAGTTTGGGAAGGAATGTCTTTGCACAGGTAAAGTTGTCAAAAGAGATGTTGTCAAAAATATACAATCAAAACTTTAAATGAGTTCACAGTTATTTGTTTCTGCGAGGGAAAATTCCAAACTGACGTTTCTTTTGCTGCGTAGTATTCATAATCACTGAACTTTGCAGGGATTATACATTATCACTGAAAAGTATGCTAGAATTTTAAACATATTCCCTGAAATCACTACTTGTGTAGTTTGAGGTATATTTCTTCCAAAAAGATGTGAAATTAGACTTTTGTATAAAGCAGGATAGAGACGTTTCTTTGCTACAATGAAATCTTTATTCAACATAATAGATGTACATGATGTGCATAAGGAAAAGTATGATGAACATGTTTGGAGAACATCAATTCAGATTTTATTTTGACAAGACACTGATGATTGGCACCTTCAATTACATTTTACTCCAGCCTTGTAGCATTTGCATCTATTTGTCTGGCACCTCTTGACTCCAGCATAATTGCACTTAACAAAGCCTTGTATACCACAGGCTGACCCAAACTGGACTGCTAAGCGTAAGGAGACCGGTTTTTCAGTAGACGTATCCTCTGAGGTGTACGGAGCTGTCACGCACACATCAAACTGAAATTACGAGAATGTTTTCCAGATAAAACACCAGTTTTGACAGCATTTGTGTATATGCCACTGTCATTAATGGGATCAGTTCTAATAGTAATAGTCCGCTTATATGGCGCTCATATCCAGGCATATTGCCTGCTCACGGCGCTACGTACATTACTATCCCCGGTCATAGGACACTATTGTACTTCCTGATACTCTTTCAACTCCCTGGGGATCACACAGGGATGCTGCCTGTTAGGCGCAATGAACTAAACATTCAAATTGCCAGCACACCTTCACGGGTACCCATTTTACAGCTGGGGGGAACTGAGGCAATGTGGATCTAAGTATCTTGTCCAAATATGCTACACAAATGTGCCCACCTCGGACCCGAACATAGGTGCCTCCACCGGGAATCCAACCCGCCTTCAGCGTGATAGGCTGACGCCTTACCACTGCACTATTGCGCTCTACCTCTGTCCACGGATGGGATTGGAACTATAACGTTGTCACCAACGTGAACTTCTGACAGAACAACTTTACTTCTTTTTCACTATTCTCTCTTTTTGCAACTGAGAGTCTACTGCCCTCTTCCTCTGGATACTGATCCTCTGACGTCTTTGCAACAAGGAGTTCTGCTGATGGAACGGCGGCTACAGCTGGTGGATCTATAACGGCTGCTTCAGCAGGTGGATCTGGTACTGGAATATTTGCTACTACAGGTGAATCTGGCATGGCTGCTTCTGCTGAGGGATCTGGAACAGTTACAGTAACTGGTGGCACATCTGGTGCTGGCTGGTCTGAAGGAGATGTCATGGCGATTATGGCATTTGTGAGATCTTCTTCTGCCTTCATTGTTGCAATTACCTCATCTGGGAGTTTGGAGGAATTTATTCCAGTGGGTGCATCTGATCAAGTACAGGCAGCAAATCGTGTGTGCTTGATTCTGCAGTGGTAGCTGGAACTGAACAAACTTGGGTCCCATGGTCCAAGCAGTGGTATTGTTGTCAGACATCCAGGCTGTTAACATGTCCTTCACATCACAGTTGGCAGGCTCAACGGAACCTTAGGATTGGGGTTGACGTGGTTTACCATGTATGATCTTGGTGCTACACCTGTGACACCTCCTCAATGACAGCATCTGTGACTTCTTAACCATTGCCATTCTGCAAGATGTCAACCAACTGATACGCTACTTCTTGGAGGTCAACGGTCTTAACACACATAACTTAGTGAGATGGTCCTGATAATGCATAATCCATTTGAATTGGCCTTGACACATGGATTGCATGTCAATCAAATCGACTTGTGTACTTTCTTGGTAACTTCTTTGAGCATATTGTCTCTACAACCAGCAATTCACTTGTGGTCTTTTGATATTCATGTCTTCGAATCAATACCCGCTTGTTGGTGTTGTACAATTCATACAGGTGACGTCTGAAACTCTCTCTCAGACTCCATTTTGGATATGAACCTTTCTGAGGTGTTGTCATATACTGTTTCTAAATGAGCTCAGTTCTTAAATGAGTCAATCTCAAATTTTCTCATCAGCAAAGCCCATAGTTGGCCTTGTAGAATGGATAAACGTCTTACAATCACACTCCATAATCAGTAAGGAGGAATGTTTAATACAATTACCAGAATTACAAAACAAACAAACCTTGCTCAATTGACCCTTTGACCTCAGCTAGTTATCGATGCATTATTGGCCTCAAATGTGTCAATCTCAAATTCTCTCATGAGCAGTAAGGAGGAATGTTTAATACAATTACCAGAATTACAAAACAAACGAACAGATTTCCTCCTTGCTTAATTCCCCTTTGATCTCAGAAAGCTGTTCATGCATTATTGCCCTCAATAAAGGTGTGTTTCAAATTATTGACTTTGATGGTCTTTCTTCGGTTTTCAACGAGAGCTCATGCATACATCCATACAAGCAGGGAAGAGCTTCGGGACCGTTCGACTATCTACGAGGGTGCACGGCAGCGTCGAGCATAGATAGGTTTGACAGATGAAGGTGCAAAGAGTATAGTTACAAGGACGCTGAAGTTCCGAATTCCAAATGGGTTAATACCCGTGAAGGTCCGGGTTAAAATTGGCCTTCAGTAACCCATGCTTGTTGTAAGAGGCGGACAGGGTGGTCAGATTCGCTGGCTTGGTTGACACATGTTATCGGTTCCCCATTGCGCAGATCGATGATTATCCTGTTGATCACTGGATTGTCTGGTCCAGACTCGATTATTTACAGACCGCCGCCATACAGCTTGCATATTGCTGAGTGCGGCGTAAAACAAAACTCACTCACTCGCTTACCAAATGTTTTAATGAAATGCATAAGTTCAATACCAAATACGAATGCCGAATGCCGAGTGTCGACTGTGCAAAAATACCCAATCTGAAACAAATTCAGATTTGGGATTCAAATCCCGAAACCCGAATGTTGAAAAACTCAAATTTGAGGTTCAAATATTGGAAACAGTAGTTTGGTTGTTTATGGTTTTAAGTTACCCAGGTATACAACGAGCATCTAGTACATAAGAAGGGGAATGAAATAATGAATATTGACCTTGTTCGTTTTTCTTCGATCGTCATCGAGGGTTGATGCCTGCAATCAGGGAGGTAAGGTGGGGTGAAATTGGGTTTAACGTCGTGCGAATATTTCGCTCATATGACGACGTGCATGCGTGTGTATATGTATGTGCGGCTGCTTGTACTAGCTCAGACTGAAGCTAGTTTTATTGTGCTAGTATAGCCCACAGAGATACCATGCCGCAGTGAAGCATGAATACCCCACTCAGACACATTATACTGACTCCGAGCCGACCAGTCCTTCTTGTACCCAATAATGCTGAGCGCCAGGCAGGGACCAACAAGTACCATATTTTAACGTCTTTTGGCATGACGCGGTCGGGGATCGAACCCGCGACATTCTGCAATCAGGGAAGTGCTTCAGGACCGTTAACTATCTCCGAGGGTGCACGGCAACGTCGATGATAGGTAAGATTAAGGTGCAAAGAGTTGTTACAAGGACGCCGTATGTGCAAAAGGTAAAACCCGAATATGGAAAATAAATCAGATTCGGGATTCTAATCCTGAATCTGAAAAAAATATTCAGATTTGGGATTCGAATCCCAAATGTGAAAAGAATATTCACATTCGGAATTCGAATCCCCAATCCCCAATCCGTTTCTAACTTGATGCTGCTCATTCGGATGACCCATCTAAGAAATTTCAGACTGCCAGTTTGACTGCTGGGACCATTCCTGGCTTACGTCCAGTGAGTTCCAGGCCTGTACGAGACCGACTGAAGTAACGCCACATCCGGCCTCGTCTGTCTGCAAAACGTCCAATTTCGCTCCAACGTCACCGACAGGCACGTCTTCTCTGGTGCAGAAGACACGATTTTGATGGTGTTTTGTTCACTGACGAGTCGAGATTTCATCTTTAAAATTCAGATGGCAGGGACAGGGTGTACATACGGCGAGGTGAGTGGTATGCGTTTTCAACGTCCACAGTTTTATGGAGAAAGCGTTATGGTATGGGCAAGCATCACGTCTCATTTTCTGACACAACTTGTCATTGTCAATGGCATTCTGACAGGTCTGCCAGGCCATAAGTGTCATAGTATAGCCAGGCAAAATGTATCATAGTTTGGCCAGGCTACAGGTATCATAATATAGCTAGGCTACATGTATCACAGTATAGCCAGGCTAAAGGGGTCACAGTATAGCCAGGCTATAGGAATCATTGTATAGCCAGGACTGACGTATCATAGCATAGCCAGAGTACAGATATAGTAGTATAGCCAGGTTTCAGGTATAATACCATAACTAGGACACAGGTGACATAGTATAACCATGCTACAGAGATCATAGTGTAGCCATGCTACATGGATCGTAGTATAGCCAAGCCACAGGTATCATGGTATAGCCAGGCCACAGGTATCATGGTATAGCCAAGCTACAGATATCATATTATGGCCAGGCTTCAGAGATCATAGTACAGCCAGGCCACAGGTTTCATGGTATAACCAAGCTACAGATATCATATTATGGCCAGGCTACAGGCATCACAGTATAGCCAGGCTACAGGTATCACAGTATAGCCAAGCTTCAGAGATCATAGTACAGCCATGCCACAGGTATCATAAAATAACCAGGCAGCGGGTATCACAGTATAGCCAGGCTACTGGTGTCACAGTATAGCCAAGCTACAGTTATCACAGTATAGCCAGGCTACAGGTATCACAGTAGAGCCAAGCTACAGCTATCACAGTATAGCCAGGCTACAGGTATCATAGTATAGCCAGGCTTCAGAGATCATAGTACAGCCAGGCTACATGGATCGTAGTATAGCCGGGCTACAGGTATCATGGTATAGCCATGCTACAGGTATCATAGTATAGCCAGGCTACATATATCATAGTATAGCCAGGCTACTTACATGATAGCATAATTACGCCACATGTGTCATATTATAGCAAGGTCACAGCTATAATAGTATAGCCAGGCCACAAGTATCATAGTATAGCCAAGCTACAGATATCACAGTATGACCAGGCTACAGGTATCACAGTATAGCCAAGCTACAGCTATCACAGTATAGCCAGTCTTCAGAAATCATAGTACAGCCAGGCCACAGGTATCATAAAATAGCCAGGCAGCGGGTATCACAGTATAGCCAGGCTACGGGTGTCATAGTTTGACCAGGCTACAGAGACCATAGTATAGCCAGGCTACAGGTATCATAGTATAGCCAGGCTACAAGTTTCATAGTATAGCCAGGTCACAGCTATAATAGTATAGCCAGGCTACAGGTTTCATGGTATAGCCAAGCTACAGATATCACAGTATAGCCAAGCTTCAGAGATCATAGTACAGCCAGGCCACAGGTATCATAAAATAGCGAGGCAGCAGGTATCACAGAATAGCCAAGCTACGGGTGTCATAGTTTTGACCAGGCTACAGAGAGCATAGTATA